TTTAACTTTCTGGACTGGGATTTATGCCATTTACTCATTTAGGCATCCATGTGACTTTGAGATGGCATATTCCATTGACTGTTGATGAAATAGAAGGGGATTTGGAACATTTTTCAAGGGTCACAATCCAAAAAACTCAGTTTTGAAGTGTTGTCATATAATGTGTGGCATATTTTGCTTAGTGGTACTACTTAATTTCAGCATCTTTCAAGGTTCTTTTTTAGTAAATTTCTGCTATTTTCCTTCATTTTGTGGAGAGCTATAAAACATTGGAGATGTATATTTCTATCATCTTCCACATTGAATGCTTGATGCCCCTCAAAACTGTTGAGTTATAGAGCATACTTGCCCATGTGGGTTTCTTGACATTGTGTCTAAATTCTAAACATAATTTAAAGCATTAATAAAAAGGCGATGACAAATTCAGTTGGACAGGTTAGTTACATTAAACATTCGGTTGAGTCGAATCAAGTAAATGAATTTTGAGTTATTCAACTTGACAAGTCATTTTAGAATTCAAATTTTATTTGAATTTTTTTAGTCGAATTTATGAAATTTGAGTAAATTGAATTCGAATTATTCAAGTTTATGTTTAAATTTAATTATAAATATTTATAATATTATGGTATAAATTGATTCAATTTAATACGAAGCTTTTCAAACCAAGCTATGGGTGCTTGCTTAAGCCCATAGATGTCCTTGTTCAACTTACAGACAATCGTCCTCCATTAAAAAATATTTAATGTCTCCATTAAAAAAGGCATTGTTAATGTCTCCATTAAAAAAGGCATTGTTAATGTCTACCTGTCATAGATCCCACTTCCTCGTCACGGCAATGGATAACATAGTCTGAACTGTGGCTGGCTCCACAACAGGGCTAAAGGTCTCATGAATATCGCACCCTACCTGCTGCAAGTACCCTTTAGCTACCAGAAGAGCTTTGTAACGAGAAATTGTTCCATCGTGATTTTTCTTAACTTCAAAAATCCCATTTGCACCCAACAGGCCTTCGATGAGCTGGCAACCTAGAAAGAGTCCATGTACCATTCTTAACAAGAGCGTCATACTCTGCCTTCGATGAGCTGCAAGTTCTCACTCACATCCTGTAACCCTTCAGGAGGAATTGTGGCACCATCAAAACCACCAAAACAACGTTGTATAGCACCCACAAGAAGCTCAGGCAACTCGTCATGAGATCCCAAAAGATTTTCTGGAAAAACACCAGCATGCATCCCAGGGAAAGATTCTTCAACCCCCACCGAAGACTCTCCAACATCCTGACGTGTGGGAAGAAAAGTAACAACACCAAGGAGAATGACAACCGATGAACCTTCCGCAGCAGCCTTGAAGACTTTAAAGTTTCCTGCACAAGGATAAACACCTTCATCAAAAACCACATGCCTAGAAATAAAAATACGCCCTGTATCATCAAGGCACTTATATCCCTTATGAAAGACATTGTAACCAAGAAAAACATACTACTTTGACTGAAACTCCAACTTGTGTCGATTGAAAGGACCCAAATGCGAATAACACCACATCTAAACACTTTGAGAAATGAATAGTTAAGTGTCACACCAAACAGAACCTCATGAGGAGACTTCGAACCAAGAACAGCAGTGGGTAACCGATTGATTAGAAACACAACTGTAATTAAAGCGTGACTCTAAAAAGAAACGGAGAATGATGCCTGGGCCAACAAGGTAAGCCCCATCTCTACAATGTTTCAGTGTTTACGCCCAATCTTACCATTCTGCTCAGAAATATGAGGACAGGACAGACGATGACATCAAAACCTGAAACTCGTCATCTCCATCAGTTTGTAAGGCTTTAATCTGACAGCCAAACTGGACTAACCAACTTAGTGAAATTCACAGAACACTGAAAAACCTCTGATTTACGTTTGAGTAAATACAACCATGTATGTCTACTATACACGTCAATAAAGGAAACATAATAGCAATACCCATCAGAAGCAACCGGGGTAGGTCCCCACACATCAGACACAACAAGTTGAAACGGATGAGTGTACTGAGTCTCTGAAACACTAAAAGGTAGCTTATAAGATTTACCCTGCAAACAGAAGCATCTTATTATTAGAAACATAAACATTACAAGAATTTAGAACCATCTTAAGAACACTTAAAGCAAGGTGTCCTAAACGCTGATGCCACAAAGCAAGAGACGCTTGAGTTTGAGTCACAGAATTGCTCTCAACAGAACTTCCACCAGCCAAGATATTCAAAAGTCAGGCTCGAAAAACATACAGACCACCAGAAGTGTACTTCCCCCGGAGCAGAATGGCTTGAGTACGAGAATCCTTCACAAAGCACTCATGAGAGTGAAACTCAAAAACTACATCATTGTCACGAGTTAATTGAGAGACAGAAAGCAAATTGACTCTAGGTTCCCCATCTTAAACATGGCGAAGTTTGGTGTGCGAAGGGATTGGTTCAAAAAGGATTAAGATGGAAGGTGGGTACGGGAGATTCTATTTCAGTCTGGAATGATTTCTGGTTGTCGAGTAGAGTGCCGCATAAGGTCACTTCCACCTGTGTGTCTTCGATTGCTCAAGTTGCGGATTTAATTGATGAAACAACAAGACATTAGAAGGCAGATCTAATACACGAAGTATTCAACAATGAAAAGGCAAATAAAATTTTAGAGATCCTTCTTTCGAGCATACGCCAAGAAGATTGCAAAATTTGGAATGGTTACAGTGTTCGAAGTCTTGTTCGAAGTGGTTACAGACTCCTTTTGCCAGAGTCAAGTGTGTCGTAGATTGAGATAGAGGTTTACAACTACATTTGGGCTAGCCCTTATCAACGGAAAATTCAAATACAAGTTGACGATTCACCAAAAACTATATATCCCCACTTCTCAGAATCTATATGCTACACAATTAATTCACAGCCGGATATTCTCGAGACGTGTTGTAGGTGTGGAATCGGGTGTACATGCAGTAAGAGACTGTTTTTAGCCCAACTAGTCCGGAGGGACATGAATTACCAATGGCCACAAACTATCCCGAATTTCGATCTGGTGGACTGGTTAGGATGGTTATTTAATAACTCTTTGAGCAGTAAACATGCAAAATTATTTGTTACTATTTGGTATGCCCGTAAAGTACAATTTCATCAAGGAAAAGTGTTGAGAAGAGAAGAAATAATTACCCTCATCCATGCACAGTGCAATGATTTTTCCACCACAACTGCTCGATTGGAAAGTAGGCTCGCACCCCCTCTTGTCTGGTGGAAAGCCTCACCAGCGTCGTTTGTCAAGGTTAACTTCGACGCCCATTTTTTGCTTGCACAAAAGAAGGCGTGGCCAGGCATTATAATCCGAGACAATCAAGGGCAAATAAAGGGAGCTTGTCGACAAGAATCATTGAGAATTGCCTCAGCGTTCTCAGCAGAAGCTCAGGCGGCAGTCCACGCTATCGGATTTTCTCAAAATTGGGTTTTCAAAATGTCATTGTTGAAGGCGACGATTGGAAGAATAGCATTATCAGAGCCCGACCTATCAGAAATTAGCGCCTAGATTTGTGAAGCAAGAAGGAGAGCGAATGACTTTCATGCAAGTTCATTTCGTTTCACCCCTCGGAACGGAAATCAAGTAGCCCACAGACTAGCTTCATGACAACGGAGTTGGAGAGATTGATCGGTACTGGAATAGAGGAGGCACCGCCAGCAGTGGAACGTCAAGCGACGGAGGATCGACGATATTTGGACCCCCTTAGTTGTTTTCATTGAGTTGTGTTCGTGAAAGATCGATTTGTTTGTTGTTTTTCTCTTGCAGAAGGTTTGCCTCATTGTTTTATTCCCAAGCAAGAAGAAGAAAGCCCGACCACACTTGTTTAGTTGAACTCTGCTTTGATTTAGTTAGAAACTTCCCAAACTTTAATTTCTTTTCAGTTTCATTATTTATTTGTAGTGCGTGACAACTGGTTACTTGGAAGTTCTATCAATAAATGACTGGTATTTCATGTAAAAAAATTATAGAAAATATAAAAAGTATAAATAAAAAATAATAATTAAAATAAAAATATATTTTATATAACTCACTATTAATATTTTAATATATAAATCATAAAATTTATTTATTTTTAAACAATTAAAATAAATTATTAAAATAAAATGTAAATACATAATTGAGTAGAGTATATACATTGGTAAGAGTACAATTATAATTTGGTTCCAATCATAAAGTAAAAAAAAAGTTAGAAATACTAACTTTTACAGTTAGTTTGAAACCACCGTTTTTATCGTAATTTTTTTTTACTTGTTTGGTATTAATTTTTACGGTTAAAATAAACTTTTTAGCTAAAAATATTTTTAGAAAGCTTTACCAAACACCTCAAATACTTGTAATTAATTAAAAAAAATGATAATTTTTTGTTCATATAAATAGATGGAAAATAAAATAAGGGTAAATTACATGTTTAGTACTTAAATTATCACTTTTATTCTATTTTAGTATTTAAACTTTCAATTTTTTTAAAGTCACATCTAATGTTTAGTTTTTATTTCATTTTAGTACCTTTCATTAAATTTTTATTTTATTTTAGTGCCTCACTGTTTTTTTTTCAATTTAGTACCTAATTTTTTGACGACGATGTATTAAAATGAAACAAAAGGTAAACTTTAGTTATGATTTTGAAAAAAAGTTTAGATACTAAAACGGAATAACAGTGATAATTTAGGTACTAAAGGTGTACTTTACCCATTAAAAGAAATAGATTATAACAAAAAGACACAACTGAATATCCTAATGGAAGACAAATACTGAAAAAGACAACACAACTGAAAACGCATCTTCCTCCACTGTTATAAAAGGCAAACAAAAGCCAAACTCTCCCATTCCATGTAATCTGCAATTTTCCCCATCTGATTTTTCCCCAACCATTCTTTTTTTTCTTTCTTTCATTAACGATTCTTCCATTGGACAATCCATCGTCGCTAAGAATGGGACCCATTGTATTCCCCTGATCTTCAAAGAAGATGTCCCGAGATGACGTCTCTTACAGGTAATGTACCTTCGTTTACGCCCCATCTGGATTTCCTGTTAAAACCCATAATCGTACCATTTTTTTATATTGAATTTTGCTTCCTTAGTTTTGAGTTATTTAGGGGCCGAATCATGTATTTTTAGCAACGTGTGAAGTGAAGCAATTGGGGGGTCAATTGATGGTTTCGTTTGTGAAAGATTATTCATCAATTGTCAATTGTTTTGCTCTCTGGGATGTTGCATCCACAGGCTGAATGAAGATTGCTAATTCTCATTTTGTGTTCTGATATTGTATTTGAATCAATAATAGACCCTTGTATCTCTTTTTTGGGTATGGGTTTGTTGTTGAATTTATTGCATTTCATGATGATATATGCAGCTGTGGATCTTGTGGTTACCCTTTGAACTTGACCTCTTCCAATCGAATCGCCTCTGGTATAGGCTCTGAGTATCGCAAATCCATCAAGAACGGTCTTGTATCCTTTCTATCTGTTGATCTTAGTCGATTCACGCAGGTCGATGAGGTACATTGCTTTCCTGTCAGTTGGGGCCGTTACCGATTAAAAACTAAACTCCTTTGCCGTAAATGTGGGGTTCATATTGGGTACGGGTACGGGGATGCGCCTGCTCTTTGCGGTTTTGACTCTTCAGATTCGTCTAGTGCTGCTTATAAAAAGTTTAGCTTAAAGATCAGAGCTGTGCAGCCTTCGGAAGAGTGCTAACAAGGTTGACATGGTGGACGGTGTTACTTCGATTATACTCCTACCTGATGATTGCCTCTGTTTTATTTTCAATTTTCTCGACTGTAGGACTGACCGAGAATCATTTGGCCTAACATGTCACCGCTGGCTTAATATTCAGAACTTGAAACGTCAGTCATTACAATTTCCATGTTCTTTCGATATTGAAGGCCCTTCCTCGTTATCTCAAAGCTGTTCCGACATCAACCCATTCCATCTTTACTGGATTCTCAAACGTTTTCAGCATTTAGAGTACTTATCCCTTTCTTGTTGCAGAGAGCTAGCAGATTCAGCTCTAAGTTACTTGAAACTCTATGGTTCAAGATTACAAACCCTATGTCTGGACTGTTGTTTTAGAATCGGCGATTACGGGGTTTCCTTGGTTGCTGATGGTTGCCCCTCCTTGACTACTATCAGTCTTTATCTATGCAACATTACCGATACCGGGCTAGAAGCTTTAGCCAACACTTGCTTGGCTTTGAGGCGTGTGAATCTTGCTTATTGCCCAAATATTTCCAACTACGGGTTGAGAGCTCTTTCTCGGGGGTGCTGTGAGCTTCAAGCAATTAAGATATCCAATTGCAGGGGTGTAAGTGGAGTCGGCTTAAGAAGTTGTTCATCAACTCTGGTTTACATCGATGCTGAGTGTTGCAATCTTGAACCCGAAGGAATAATGTCCATTGTTAGTGGAGGCGGGCTTAAGTTTCTCAACATTGCCAGTTTAAGTTGCTCAAACTTCAGAAATGGATTGGAAGCAATCGGGAGTGGATTTGCAGCGGGGCTTAAAATCCTCAGTCTTCGAATGTGTAGAAGTGTTACTGATGCTTCTATAGTTGCAATCGCAAAAGGTTGTCCGCTACTTCAAGAGTGGAACCTGGCATTGTGTCATGAGGTTAGGGTCCTGGGATGGGCTTCCATTGAATCAAACTGCCATACTTTAGAGAAACTCCGTGTGAATTGGTGCCGAAACTTATGTGATCAAGGGCTGCAGGCCCTAAGGTTTTGTACATGAACCGAACGGCTCGATATCATACACGGGTAGAGCTGTTTAAACTGCATAGGTGCAATGTCAAGATTAAGTTCGAAGAAGTAATGTCGATAGGGCCAAATTGGGACAACTTAGACGACAATGAGTAAAAGATTGATCTCTATATTTGGGATGAAATAGAAGCATTTGGGTAAATTGAACTTGTTGATCATCCAACTATTATCAATTTTCTATTTGATAATTTAACTTTTTTTTTGGGTAAATTGCTCACTCATGTCACACTTTTTTTTCTTTCTAAAATGATCATCAATTGTTAAAAGATTAATGGAGGTAATGATGCGGCCTGGTATGATGATAGTTTGTCTCTAAAATTTATATATTTTATCAATTTGATAATAATTTATAAACAATCTAATAAAGTTGACTATTAAATACAAATATGAACTAAGAAAAATATGAATGGCTCCGGGGATCAAACATGGGACCTAAGAGATCCATTTCAAATGGGATTTGTCCCGTGGACACACGAGCAATCCAACCCGTAGGATTTCCTTTCCCTCTTCCCATTCTTACTTCTGTAGGTTTCCCGATAATAGGGAGATCCGTGATCTCTTACCCATATCTTACCATTTATTCGGAACTGTCCGCTCATAACACGATGAAATTGTCCGATTATAGCCCGACGCGCTGCTTCAATGGCTCGATATGAAAGACGACCAGCTTTACAACTTTTAGTGCCATATCTTCCAAAACCAAGTTTTGTACCATCCGGTTTGCAACCCCTACTACATTTGCCTTTACGATATTTACCATATTTCGTACGTTTTGGATGTAGCACAAACAAATGAATCACACTTTTATTGCCTTAGCATTCAATATGCCTATTAGTACATTTAAAGGCTGTTATTATGTCTTAATTTTTTTCACACTACTTGGAGTACTTAACAGAAAAATACTATGGTCACATGCTTCGGATGAGCTCCACCTGGCCGTCATCATGCAGGAATAGTACCTGGTGCAAGTGGCTGTATTAATCTCATCTGTGCTCTGGCCAAGCCTTTCTAAATTTCAGGTCAATCTCTAGTTGTTGATGGTCTAACTAATTTTCTCCCCATACATTGTCCCAGGCACCGCTTGGAGCAGCTTTGGGCCCCTCGATGAAGTTTTGATTCCCATGAGGATTATGGGGTCCTGGGAATCCGGGAGGACCTGCTTGATTAAGCTTTCGGGGTTTTGTTTTGATTCCCAGCAGTCTTAACACGAATCTAGCCAACTCTCCGTACAATAGTCCCCCACGATCAAAAAGCTGCAAATAATGATGCCATGAGTCAACATGTACTCATGTAACAAATGTCACTCACCAAAACGCAATTTTCGTTAATACAACTATCAATTACTTAAGAAAATCAACTCTAATTTTGATGATTCCAGATCAAGTTGGACAGATGGGGAGGTAAGAATAGCAGAAGCAGCACCTGAAGAAGAGCAGTCATAAACATGTGGAATGCCTGTGTATTCTGGTCCATCAGAATAGATATCCGGCCAAAGCAGTTAACAACACCTTGCATCTGCAATCAGTGAAGGAAGCAATTATCAGTATGATGCAGTGAAAATGCAACGCAAACGTATATAGATACATAAATATATGGCGTGCAATAGTGGTCCCAAATGTTTAGGATAAATTCTCCCATTTTAGTACACTTCCTTCTAATCTTATTCCCATGTAAGATACGATCAGCTTCAGTAACCTAGAATCTAAATTGATTGTCAAAAAAGTCTTGAGTTAAATAGCAGCCATCAATTGTTTCTGACATTTCAGTGTTAAAGAAATGTCACAATGGTTCATGGACTCCATGCAATATCCTGAGCAATCTCAAACCATCAAAACTACAATGATACCTTCCTCTCCATAGGTCAATTTTAGTTCTTCAGAATATTGATGGTGAAATGATGAAGTACGTGAATATTTCCTGGACTGCATATCTTGAGCTCAAGAACAGAGCAAATAAAAAAAAAGAATCAATGGCCAAGGTGGAGGGCTGTCATTACAGCTAGGATCAGACACTCACATATTATTTACATTTAATCAGATTAAAAAAATAAGATTCGAAATAAAATACCACGCGGAGGAAGGACATCCAAAAGCCTGGTGGGGATGGGGGAGCACCAAAAGGATTATTTGGATCTTGTTCACCATATGGACCCATACCCATCCCATAACCACCCATTGGACCCCCAAAGCCACCGAGTCCACTGCCATTCATTCCACCACCGGGCATTCCAGAGTTTCCATATAGACCACCATAACCTCCTCTATACATGTTGTTTCCATACAATCCACCGCCAGAAGAACCTAATCCACCATATGATGAACCATACATTCCCGAACCATACCCCGAGTTGTAGTTTAAGCCAGAACCATACCCCGAGTTGTGGTTTAAGCCAGAACCATACCCTGCATCAAAAACACCAAATTATGCAAGCTCCACAATAAGTAACCATCGGTATTGTAATAGATGAATTAAAACTTTACCTCCATAAGAGCTTCCATAATTCTGTTGCTCCCAGGGCCTGCTGGGTAAAGGCCTACTAACAGTATTTCTATTCACAGCAGCAGTCGCATCAGCAGTTGAAACAATCACACCTGGCCGTGATGTTCCAGACGCCTCGACCACATCACTGGTGCTTCCAGGTGAGGGTGGCTTAAAGGGTCCGGAAGCAGACGTGCCTCCAGCTTGCTCCCATGGTTTAGGCGGCGGAGACCCACCGGTAGCTGCAGTCAAAAATGTAAAATTACAATCAAATTGCAAGGGGGTTGAAAATATTCAAATTTGTTAACATCCAATCCAAGTTAATTACCCTTTTAATTTCTTGACCTTATTCTATGATTATAAAAAAGAATCCACCTAAGAAAACCCACAATTAGAAACATGAATTGGGCGGATTCTTCAATTCCCTAGGAAAAAAACAACTAATCAAACCGAAGCAACTAAACAAATCAAGCAATAATAACTGAAAACCCTACAAGTATAGATTTCTAACATTGGAATCGATGAATCGGGTCAAAACAAGATGATCTAAACTAACAAGAAATAAACAGAATAAAGAAATCGGACCTTCTTGTTGGGAATTAGAAGCCATGGATTCTGGGTGAGATCAACCGATGAAGCAATTTAAGGAGACCGTTGTATCGCCTCAGCAAAGAGAAACAAATATTGCCGACGACTTACGTATATTACTTCCCTTTTACCCCTATCTAGATTTGTTGGGCCACTCACAACCTTTATGTTTTTTTTAGGTGCTTTGCTTGGTCTTCGTTTAGTTATTTTTTTATTTCGGGTAAACTACATCCAAGGTCACTCAATCATGAGTGTGATAATAAACGGGCACATTCTTTTTAAACGTTACAAATTAAAATTGAGATAGAATAGTGACTTGAGTTGATATGATAATAGTTTCAGTCCTTAAAACTTATATAGTTTATCAATATATTATAATTTAAAAAAATTTAATAAATTTAATCCTTCATATTTAAAAATTACATCATTTTAATTTTTGAACTTTTCTTAAATTATTTATTTTTCTCCCATATATGTTATATCACTTTCATATTACTTTTCTAGTATAATACTAATTTAGCAATTACTTTTTTTTTACTTCGCGACATAATGCAGCAATCCAATAGGTTCATCTACTTTAATAATTTCGAAAAAAAAGACTAAATTGGCGTAATTTTTAAACTGCAATGTTAAATTTATTTAATTATTCTAAGTTATAAAAAATTGATAGAATACATAAATTTTAGAACTAAAAGTATATTTATATAAGATCAAATTATATAAATTTTAACGATATAATGACTGTTGTTTAACTGAATGATTTATTTGTAAGTTTTTAAAAAAGTAGCTTATGTTTCACTAAACATATAATTAAGTGACCTTGAGTGAAATTTACCCTTTTATTTTTTTTATTTTTGTGCAAACAAAGGAAAAATAAAGTTTTTGAGTTAGCTTAAATCACTGGATATTACTATAAATCTATTAAATAATAACTTAAGTTCTTAATTCAACTAAATTAAAAGCGTAAATTATGTGAATAGTCTCATCTGTTACTGGTTTGGCCGACTTTGATCATCAGTTTAAAAATTAAGAGTACACGGTTTCTAACATTATCAATTCGTTCGATTATAGTACCTAACGTTATCAATTCGTTCGAATATGGTCCCTAACGTTATCGATCCATTTGATTATGGCTCCAACATTATTTATTCGTTCAATTTTAGTCCCCCAGCCATTAACTCCCGCTAACTTTTTAACGAAAGTATTATGTGACAGTTATTTTCTTTTTTTAAAAAAATACATGTGCTTCTTCTTCTTCTTCAACGGTGAGTAAAAAAATTGTAGTTCACAAATTCATCATCCACAACCAAAATCCATAAACTCTAAAGAGACTAAACTTAACGCCGCTTTTCATCCCTCAGCCAATACTTCTATATTATTCTCCCTTCCTCCAAATTTCTGAATCTCTTTGTCTTCCTCTCGCTATGTTTTCAATGCTCTTTATTTTTTTCTTTTGGATCGCAGGCCTTCTTTTCCTGTTCTCTTCCATTGCTAATTTTCTTTATCTTTGTTTTGTTAGTGAAAACAATAGAACAGAGATGCGACATTATCACTGTCATTGATGAAGAAGATATCATGGTCGCTCATATCATGTTGGAGCTATCTCAATTATTCTCACTCTAAGCCAAGTCGTTGCTTTGCTTCACTTGGGGCTCCAGGGGAAAATATCTACTTCTTCGAAGTCAAGGTTCGTCATCGTCGCATCCTTATCTAACGCCCACTCTCATCAACACTAGAAGGAAACTGTTGTTAGGGTTGCATGTATCGTAGGACAATGACAGTCAGCTTTTTCCCTTTTGTTTTGTGTGTGTGTGTATATATATATATAAGGGGAATATAGGGAGGAAGTTGTCGTTATAAAAGCATGGAAATGGTGGGTGATGTGGATGGAGTTTTATTATCAATGGAGTAGGATGTTACTGGATTAGCAAAGGCTATTCATTAGGCACCTTTATTTCTTGGCAATTTTAGCTCTTACACGTGGCGAACATGAAGATGTTTTCAATGTCGAGTCAGTACCAATTAGCGGAAAGGGTGTTGATGGGAATGGGCGGTGGAAACTAAAGAAGAAATGGGTTGACGTTGAACGTTTTTTGGAAAAAAAAACCCTTACAGAATGACGAGCTGAGAGTAACTTGACAAGATTCTCCAAGCTTTGAAGGTTTAGAGTTTGAAGTTCCTATGGAGTAACAATATTGGAAAAGACATATTCATCTTCTTAAATCATCCTCCGCCTTCTCCTTCATCGTCGGTAAAACGACGTCGCCTTCAGTTCATGAAAAACTTTACGTTAAAAACTAAGCACAAAGAGAAGAGGCTAAATGACGGTCGTATCGCTTATACTCTTCTAATTACAGGAGTTACTAGTTCTAAGAATATTTGGGAGCAGGTTCGTAGGAAAGAAAGCAGGGTTCATTGGCAGAAAATTACTTGGTTTCCCCTTCACATACCAAAACACAGCCTCATCTCATGGATGGCTATTCTGGATCGTCTCCCCACCAAAAAAAGGCTGCTCAGGTTCGGCTTAATCACTAATGACATGTGCATCTTTTTGCTCTGAAGGTAGTGAGACTAGAAACCATCTTTTTGCTGAATGCAAAGTTTCTTCTTCAATCTGGAATTCCATTCTTCTGCTGTTAGGCATCAATAAACCACCATTCTCTTGGTCTAGTCTTATGATTTGGACGATAGCGACATGGAAGGGAAAATCTTTAATTATTGTCATTCTTAAACTGTCGTGGTGTGCATTCATTTACACCATTTGGGAAGAAAGGAATCGTAGGACTTTCAGAGGCATTAGCAGATCAGAGGATGATATAGTTCAATCTATTAAGCATACTATAGGTCTTTATCTAAGTAATAGATCTATCAATAGATTAGATAACACTAATTTATTTCTTTGTAATCAATGGGGTATAGCTTGATTTTGGTGTATAGGTTCCCCTTATTTTGTTCATTTCATTGGATTGTTTTGTAGCAGGTTTCTGCTTTCTTGGATAATAAAACTTACTTATCCAAAAAAAACAAATGACGGTCGTATTTATTGTATAAGCAGACTAGGTTTTTCACTAATGTCAGCGCTCAAAGTGATCGAAGTTGAAGTAGCATGAGATTTTATGGTTCATTTTGAGTTATGAATTGATAAAGTAACTGAAATTAACAGATTGTTAGTTTGAAGAAGAAGAGGGAGATAAGGAGGAAGAAGAAGAATATAGATTTTTTTAAATATTTTAATTATCACATAATACTTTTATTAAAAGATTAAAGAAAATTAACAATTGAGAGATTAATATTGAATTATTAATAATAATGTAAGAGATCATATATCCTTATTTCTTAAACTAATGATTAAACTAGGTCAGATCAAAAATAAAATGGTCCGTTTGCACAGTTTATACAAATTAAAAATATATCAAACATTAAAAATTCTGTATCCCCCGGCGGCTCTACACCTAGTTAGTTCTAAATGCCTGGATTTGGTGCATAAAACAATCATTTCCTTCAACACGTTAAATTATTTTTAAAGTTATCTCTTAAATTATTATTTTTATATAATTTTATTTTTTAAAAATAACTAAGAATGATGTCGTTTTTTCCGATATATCTCATTTTTCATTTAATTTTCCTTGTCAGATACTCTTCAGACTATTTTTCTTGATCTAACACCCTTTGCAATAAGGCGCGTCCCCTACAGCGCGCTTTACATTGATCTGGCGCCACATGGGGTAAGGCGCGCACCTTGAAGCACGCCTTATGCTGACTGTGATACACGTGTGTAAGGCACGGGGCAGGGGTCGCGCCTTACCTGCAAATCTGACACGCGTCAGAAAGGCGCGCCCCCTACGACGCGCCTTAGGTTTAATTACATACCTACCCCGACCTTTCACACTCCCTCCCTCCCTATAAATACCCTCATCCTCAATCACTTTCATCATACCAAATCCTCTCAACTTCTCTCAAACTCTCTCAAATACTATATTCTCTGTTTAAGGTATATTTTATTATATTTAATATTTTGTATTTAATTTATTTAATTTATTTAAGTATTTAAATTATTTAATATTGTATTTAATTATTATTTTTTGCAGATATAAAATAGAAGGCGGTCTGCTTCACTTGGATGGAAATCATATATCTCGACATTTTCCTGATACGGTAACATTTAACATTTTAATTTAATTTAAATTATCAGTAATAATTTATTTATTTATTTAATGCATGATTATTAGTTTAAAAATTGAATTGCATGTCCAGCTCAGTTGGTAGAGCGCAAGGCTCTTAACCTTGTGGTTGTGGGATCGTGTTCCACGGTGGGCAATTCATAATTCTAACTGCCGGAGGTCTTCCACGGAAATTGCTCTCAACCTGGCATTGGGGGCAGCCTACTACCTTACCTCCCCCTCACCCCATTACATATGGGAATAAGGTAAGCTAATATTAGTTTAAAAATTAATTTTTGGAATTATTTATATTTTAGGAGAGATATCGTATAATAGATCCTTTTATTAGGAACTTTAAGTTAATGATACTTGGTCGTGTCATGCCGTATTTAGTAGAGGCTGGATTCGGTCACATAGGTAGATATGAGGGTCACTGTAAGATAATACCAGACCTTATTGCTATCTTAGTGGAGCGGTGGAGGCCGGAGACCCACATATTCCATCTTTCATGCGGAGAGTGCACGATTACACTTGAGGATGTTTCTATGCACCTGGGTCTTCCGGTGGATGGAGATGTGATATCGGGATGGCACACAGTTCATGGACTGCTTTGTGTCGGGACTATCTAGGACGTGTCCCAGAAAGTTTTAACGGTTGTCGGATACACTTAAATTGGTTAGATGCCAATTTTCGGGAGTTGAGCGAGGATGCCTCTGATGATGAAGTTAAAATGTATGCACGGGCATGTATACTGCAGCTGATAGGAGGGTTGCTGATGCCGGACAAATCGCGCAACCAAGTTCACTGTATGTGGTTGCGACATCTTAGCGACTTTCATCTAGCTGGATCACTCAGTTGAGGCTCGACAATTTTGGCTTCCTGTATAGGGAGATGTGTCGCACGATTGACTACAGAAAAATGCTATCGGCGGATGTCTCCTGCTGTTGCAGTCTTGAGCGTTGTATCGATTGTCC